GGATATTTCTGGCCTATTAGCCGTCGCCAGTCAGCCCTATCGAAAAACCCAGACTTCCCGTAAATGGGCCTCGCAGCCAAATTTTCTAATCATCGAGGATTACTAGGTCTAACGCTCTATCAAGAAGGCCAAGGCGGCGTAGACGCGACCTAGATCACGCCTTCAATGATATTGATCTCCTCGCTATCTATGTTACAAGCATCGCATGGCCACCACAAACCTCACAGAGGAAAAGAGATCGCTCAATTTGGTTCTCAGAGTGTTATAAATTAACAACAACAATTAACGAAGTCAATTCATTGAATGGGAGAAATAGCAGCCAGGTAACCGTAATAAAGTAGGTAACGCTAGTGCGTGGAAAGGGGAAATGGACCATGGAAGCAATGATTTTAAATCTTTCAAGGAAAAAAAGGTACCATCAGGAGACGGCATTTCGTTGTCCAATCCAGGCGGGATTGAGTATCCTGTGCATAGGGGTCAAGTGATGAGGTCGCGTCGACAACCTCTAACTCTCCCTCTGCTTCATTTGTAATATCTACTTGAGTGTTTGGTTCTGACAATTTTAAAGCATGCACTTGTAAGATGAGGTGAGGGAAGTATGGGAGGCAGAGAAAGGAGATAGGAGACTTACCGTCGGCCTCAAAGACCCTCCCATTTTCAGAGAGGACCGTATAGTATGTTCGTTGGGGACAGCAGGCAGACTTACAAGGGCTCGAACGCAGAAGATCAAAGACCGGCAAGGGAGGCTTGTCAAGCATGAAGAGGTAGCTGAAGGGACGGCACCATCAAGACGTCAGAAGACAATTTTCTTATAAAATGCCCATAAGATACTCGCATCATCAAGCAAAGTTATAAAACTTGGCTGCGGAACAGACAGTGAATTTGGGTATAACAAGTTCAACAATATAATTGTTGTCATTTAAAAACCAGCCGTAGACTTAAAAAGAGTTCTCCTAGGATCGACCAGCCTGGAAAATAGCAGCAAAGACTGGAGCAGTAATATAATAAGTCAAATCGATCGTCGCTGCCAAATAAAACAATAGTTAGTGAATATCCAGCGCCAAGGACTCATAACCCCAACATCTCCCCGCATGTCTACGATGTCGTCAGACATTCCACGCGTGCATCGGCGTCCTCGAACATCTTCCGGGACAAATTTAATAACAATAATCAAAATAAATATACAGCGTGGATCGAACTAACTACTACAATTACTAGTGCTTTGGATTCATTCAACTTATACCTAAGTATTTATATAGCGGTTTAGGCTAAGGTGGTTAGACTTGGAGATTTGGGGCTAGGGTTCAGAGTTAGAGATAAGAGACGATAATTTCAGCTTAGAGTTAGACTTTCCGGCCGCCTACAATTAGGCTGGTCAACTATTCTGTTTTGGATAATTTTCTAAATCAGGCGCTCCAGTTTGAATTCGCCGTTGGTGCACTTGAACAAGATACTGGTGTAAATTTAATGTTTGAACTTTCTTCCTTGTTAAGTATGCTGTCCACCACTCCAGTTAGACATCTCCGTAAAGGCTCTGATAATATCATTCCCGTACTACAGGTGTGGTTTGTTCTTATTTCGGTTGTCACCTTACTCATGACAGTTTAAACTAATTAAGCTAGACAAGAGTAAGCGAACTGTAGAGTGAATTTTGTTCGAAATTAGCACTGTAACCGGCTTATAAGATTTGCATTTTAGTTGGTCCGCTAAGGTGTTACAAGTATCCATATTAACTAGTAATAAGGCTCTTTTTTTCGCAACGCCGCCAAATCATGAGGTTTACGCTCTAAACAGACATGTTTAAGGTTAGTATGACACTGGTAAAAACTCAGAAAATAACCTACGTGAAAAGCATGGCGATTGGCACAAAGATGGTGGCACGCAAAGTGACCTCAGGCGAAACGAAGGAAGTTACAATAGCGTAGAAGACAGAACCGGCGATACCAGCAGCCCCTGTGCCAGATGACCAGGTTGAAATTACGGAACTGAGAAATAACAGAAGAGAAAACAGAAAGGCGAACATAGCCAGCTGTCGAGCCAGAGAGCGCATATGGCGAAGAAAAGGAAATGCACTATTGTGACAACTAGCACATAAGAATATAGCCACAGAAGTTGCTTATCGTCATAAAGACCGTTGCGGAAGTATTTACTAGCAACTGCATACGCAAATCGGTCGAATGCCGGGGCTCGGTTGTCTTGTGTGTCGTTTGGCATTTAATCGACATATGTAAGTCTGAGTAAGGATCAGTATAACCAACCCATCACCGGAGAGTTTCATTTATTCCTCCGAAATTTCGAAGTTGTGCAGGAGTCCATCGTCAGAAATCTAACTAGCAACAGAACGACTGCCAGGCATAGAAGGTATCAACCAATCCAAGGTAGGCGACGCAGATCTGTAGGTGACTGCGCAGATTTTTGTATGCCAGCATCAAGTTGATAGATCAATTAACTGAGCTCCTGAACGAGGTCTAATTGCCAATTAATTCTGTGCGCGTGGCTTCTGGTGGGTGGGATTATCCTGTTGATGGCGAAGTTAAAATATTGGGCCATGTTGAAGGTGTGGGTAGTGTCGTAATCAGAATAGATAGAACCGCTTGTTTCAGTAGGTATGAGTTAAACAGATAAGGAGTTAGAATTTAAGAGTACCCTAGAATTCGGCTTTATTCATCTTAAAATTGACGTATTAGAAGTAAAATGGAAAAACAGAGTAGTATTAAAGAGATAGAAGACGGTCAGGGTAAGGCTAGCAGGAAATTCTCTCCAGCCAACAAAAAAGGGGGCATTACGTTAACAAATCTAGTTGAGGGTTTGAATTGGACAAATTCTAAACGTCTCTGTTTCGCAGGTAGTATGGATGAATGTGTTGTTGCTGTTGTTGTTTTATCAATTCCTCCGTATTATGCTTATGGGCATCGTTTTCGCTATGGACACTATCAGGTGTTTTTACATGCCAGTTGTCGGTGCAACTGGCGTTGTTATTCTGTTCGGTATTGGGCGGAATAGAATTTTCGATCAAGGATGTGGCCGTCTCCTGATGATGATCACCGAGATCCTTTTCACCTCTAAGAGCAAGCAGTCGAAAGGATACTGTTTCTTTTCTGCCATCACCAAATTGTACGTGAGCATACCGGGGGTTGAACTGGAGCAGATCAACCTCCTCATAGAGTGGTTCATAGTTAGACTGTTGGCTATTCTTCTTCAACAGGACTCGACCAGGAGAAGTGAGCCAGATAGGGAGAGTGGTTCCAGCGGTTGACCTCCGACTATAAGTAAAATTTCTTTCATGTGGTGTCGCGTTGGTGACGGTACACAAAAGTCACTTAAAAGAATGAAAAGCGTCCAAGAGAACGGATTCCCAGTGCGTAACAGACAGATTTCGAGATTTCAGAGCAAGTAAATTGTCTTCCATAAAATTGGGTTCAAAGGTTCGACTCGCACGTTTCCTTGGGGATTATACTGAGAAGTCCTACTCGTCGCGCCCCTCGCCCCCTATTATGGAGGAATTGTTGTACACCCTTTGACGCAAATGAATATCCTGGATCGGTGAGTACGTACGAGGGAGTTCTGAAGATGGAGAAGAGTTGGCATAAACATCTAATACTGGTTTCGGCAGATTGATCGGATCAGGCGAATCCGAATGGGTAACGTGAATATTCATCAATAATCGTTGGCAGATAGAGACTGCGGGTCACAGACGGGATTGAACCTTGGACGTCGAATGATAGCCGTCCAAATGGTTGGGTGGCCTTGGTGAGTTGGCCTTGTGCTTTACAGAAACGGGGTTTGACGTCACAATATGACGGTCATCTCGTGACAACATCACGAATTTCTTCAGGTGAGAAGGGAAGATTTTTAGTTCGAACAAAGTTTGATAACCGAGAGACTCCAGGATGGCAGAGATGAGTGCAGTTTCTTCAGATTGACATTCGTTAGCAAGGCCCCATAGCAACTACAAGAAAGCGTATCAGCCGCACGATTTTATTTAGCAGGTCTGTAAACAATATCAGAATTGAATGGCGATAACTCCAATCCTCAGCGTTCGATCTTTTCATTCTTAACCTTTCCTTTTTGTTGACTATCATAGATAAAAACAACAGAATGTTGACCTGTAATTAGTTCAAAATGATTACCGAGAAGAAAATGCTTCTATTTACGTATGGATTCAACTACGGCATCCGCTGCTTTCTTAACCGCAGAATGGTGTCACTCATTTGACGATAGAATACGCGAAAAAATTCTATTCGTCGGCAATTCTGGTTCAGTGTGGCAGCAATAGCGACTTCTGAAGCATCAGTCTCAACAGCCAGTGGGG